CTAGCCAGTGGGACGTCCCTCATTCAAACCACAAGCACCTTTAATCTTTGTTATTTTTTGAGACCTTCTGTGTAAGCTAAGCTGGCCTCAAACTCACCAGCTGCCTCAGCCCCGAGTGCTTCTCAGTGCTACAGGCATGTGCTACCACACGCATCTGGCCTAACACCTTTATTTATTTTGCTTATCAGATGATTAGTATTTTACTGTTGCTAATAGTTTAAGTTGTGTTCCTTTTGATTTAGTGTGTATGTGTGTAGGCACATGTGTCACGGCTGATATGAGGAGGTCGGAGGACAGCTTGTAGAAGTCAGTTCTCACCGCCCACAGCGTGGTTCCCAGGGACTGGGTTCCCAGGGACTGGGTTCAGGTGGTCGAGCTTTGGTGGCATGCGCTTCTTCCTGCTGAGCCATCCCCCCCATCCCAGTAGTTTTCTTTACCTTAGGCACAGAATAGGTTTGTAAGTAAATTTAACGTACTTGCCTATTTATCTGAAAATTATCATAGCATTCTCATTTCCTTTGGAGTAGCTTCTGGAGTGAGAATTATTCTTTCAAAAGTGAGATTTTAGGCCAGGCAGTGGTAGCATATGCCTTTAATCCCAGCATTTGGGAAGCAGAGGCAGGCTGATCTCTGAGAGTTCAAGGCCAGCCTGGTCTACGGTGCTAGTTCCAAGATGGCCAGGGCTACACAGAGAAACCCTGTCTCAAAAACAAAAACAAAAACACCCACCCACCCAACCAACCAAAAAACCCAAACAAACAAAAAGAAATATATGTATATATATTCCTTTTTTTATATAAAGTCTTTTTTGTTTGTTTGTTTTGTTTTGTTTTTGTTTTGTTTTTGAGCCCAGTGCCTCTAGAAGAGCAGCCAGTGAATGTTCTTTCTTTTTTTTTTTGGGCAGTAGGGGGGTTTGAGACAGGGTTTTTCTGTGTTTTCTGTCTAGTTTTGGTGCCTGTCCTGGAACTCTCTCTGTAGACCAGGCTAGCCTCGAACTCACAGAGATCCTCCTGGCTCTGCTGGGATTAAAGGCATGCGCCACCACCGGCCCAGCTCAATGAATGTTCTTAACTGCTATCTCTCCAGCCCCAGAGAGAGGTGTTGTAGTCAGTGTTCTATTGCCATGACCATGGCAATTCTTATAAACGAAAGCATTTGGTTGGGGCTGGCTTAAGTTCAAAGGTTTAGCCCATTATCATCATGGCGGGAAGCATGTCAGCACGCAGGCGGACATGGAGAAGAGGCGGCTCCATTTGAAGCCCCAAAGCACACCCCCAGTGACATACTTCTGTAGACTTTCCTTTGGGCTGCCAACACGCAGACTTCTTATTTATTGTACAGGCTTGGCCTGTAGCTTAGGCTTGTCTCAGCTAGCTCTTATAACTAGATTAACCCATGTTTTCTCATCTGTGTTCTGCCATGTGGGTCACCTCTCCATCTTACACCTCCTGTCTCCTCTCCCTGTCTGACTGGTGACTCTGCCTTTCCCCTTGAGTCCTCTGTTCCTGGAAGTCTCACCTAACCTTTTTCTGCCTAGTTATTGGCCGTTCAGCTTTAGCTCACCAATTACAGCAATACATTTTCATACAGTGTACAAATATCCCACAGTGACACACTTCCTCCACCAAGGCCACACCCACTCCGACAAGGCCCCACGTCCTAATAGTGCCCTCCCTGGTGACCAAGCATTCCAATCTGTGAGCCCATGGAGGCCATTGTTATTCAAGGCACCACAATAGGATTTTTTAAGAGTGCTTTTTACTACCCAGTGAGGCTCTATTCTAAAATCCAGGGAGTGAGAGAGGGTGACGAGGATTCCTAGCAGACCAATGGCTTTGTTTCTTACACTTGACTAAAACTACCTACATGGGTTCCCCTGGAGGGAATTCAGAACAAGGGTGCTGCCTGGAGAGGAGGACTAGACATTAGTCAGAAAACTGAGGGTGAGGGGTGCCATGAGGGAGCAGCTCAGCCCGATCCCATCAGCACAAGCCAAGCATGGTGTCCATCACAGAGAAGCACCTGGTGAATCTTTGCAAAGGGGCTTAAATCTCATTAACCTAGGTGCTTTTTAAAGTAATGAAGGTTTTGAACTTTATGGGTGTCTTACTTGTGTGTATGCATCATGTGTGTGCCTGGTCTTCCGGAGGCTAGAAGAGGGTACCAGGTCTCCTGGAACTGGAGTTACAGACAGCTGTGAGCTGCCATGTGGGTGCTGGGAATCGAACCCAGGTTGTCTGTAAGAGCAGCAAAGTGCTCCCAACCTCTGGCCATCTCTTCAGACCTGAGAGTGTTTTTTTTTTTTTAAAAACAATTGAAAGTGTGTGTGGTGTGTATATGTGTGTGTGTGTGTGGTGTGTATGTGTGTGTGTCTGTGGTGTGTATGTGTGTGTGTGGTGT